GCCTTCTAATCCTATGGTAAATGTAGACACAGGATTATGGAATTTTTAAATTGAAATACAGCCGATGATCACATCAACAAATGACCGATATTTCTGTTGTTTTTCGTTCTACACACCGTTCCAGCACCTTATATTGTTCTCCGTCAATCAGAATCTCGTGACATTATGAATTACCTGTGTTTGTTTTGAAAATTTTCGAGTTACGGGTACGGGTACGTTAACCGTAATTATGATACGGATTCTACCTCTATTTTCGTGTATCGCGAGCATATGTCACTTTTTACTTAAGTTTCAACTGATCTTTCAGTGTCCGGGAAACAGTTTACTTTTATCCCGGAATTTCGGGACAAGCAAAAGACCGGGAAATGAGAAACCCTAGTTTTAACTTTGAAAATGATCGTTCTATAGATACTGGTGCAATTTTATTTTCAGTAAATATTAATTTTGTGTTTTAAATACTAAAATATTCTATCAAAATGAGTTTCATCCTTTTTTCAGGGATTCAACAATTCATGTACTGTTGTCATGCACGGATGAATCTATCCAAAAGATACATTGCAAAAGATATGGTAAATTATGATTATGGATCTAATCGATTAACAAAGCAGCTAATTGAGTACACTACCAAATTCTAATCGATAATGCTAAAGACAGTCAAGTAGAGGACATGATAAGATTCAAACCACTAGAGATTTATAACAAAAGGATTGAAACAGTACAATGGTGTCTCGTTCACCAAATTAATTAATCTATAAATTATATTATAAATTTAAGAATAAAACAGAGAAAAGGTTATTTCGTTTATTCTAATTTTGTAATAATAAAAACCAGATATGAAAATACTATCTTAAATTTATTAATACAAATCTGAGGTTACTATTACGTTCATATTTGCTATCTTTAACTATTAAATTGTTTAAAAATACAGTACAGTTGTCCCTCTATAGTCCGACGTTCTTTAATCCGACATGCTCAGTAGTCCGACGCACCTCCCGTCAAGGTACCCGTCCCCGTTACGTGTTTGCTTGCACAGAAGCATGTCGCGATGTGAATCTCCCCATCCAATACTTACTCGATGACACACATTTCGTGTGTTTTATGTGAGCAGTTCTGTTTGAACAGTTGGAGTAGAGAATATTGTAAGTTACTGCTAGCAAAACAATGCGAAATATGTAATTATTTTTGGTAATCCGGACACTTCTGGTAATCTGACACACCTTTGGTTTCATACCTGTCGGATTATCAAGGGACAACTGTACTGTAAAATTCCTATTAAATAATTATTATCATTTTAGCAAAAAATTAGTGGGAGGAAATGAATGTGTTTCTTGAATTAGCGGATTTCATGTTATTTCTATTGAAAACGATACTTTATAATATTTTTTTCCATCTTTGCCATCTTTGCTCAGACACTAAGAAGGCCCTTTTTCCCATCCATTGTGCCTACAGTCAGGCCTATAATAGGGGCAACTGGATGCTATTGTAATACCTATTGTAATATTAGTTTTTAAAAGAAAATTTTATGTTGTTTTAAAATGTAACCATAACACGAAGTTCACTTTTAAAAACTAACGGCTTGTTACAATAGCATAAAACATCTATAATCTAAAGTATCAGTTATTATTTGCTTAATGTGTCAGTGTGAAATATAGTCCATGTAATAGTGTACTTTACGGCCTCTCGTCAGTAATTGGTATTGAATCAATTGTCTCTTAAGTACAGAGTGACATACGCTCGCGATACACGAAAATAGAGATAGAACCCGTGTCATAATTACGGTTAACGTAACGTAACTCGAAAATTTTCAAAACAAACACAGGGAATTCATAATGTCACGAGATTCTGATTGACGGAGAACAATATAGTGTTGGAACGGTGTGTAGAACGAAAAACAACAGAAATATCGGTCATTTGTTCGTATAGTTCGTGTCCATTTGGTTCGTGTACTTTCGTATATAAGGAGAGACAATTGATTCAATACCAATTACTGATGAGGGACCGTAAAATATAAGTCGACCCGAAATGCATCTATTAAAATTAATGTATGTAATCAACCAATTTAATTAAACCCTACATTTTAGATCATTGAATTACCGGTACGTTCCTACACCCTTGCAGACACAGGATGTTACCTCCTAAGCCATGGAGGGCTTTCTCTGTTTTTTCCACCCAAGTGAGTTGTTCATACGCGTTTTGCATGTTAAGTTTCAAAACAAGTTGTTAGCCGTTATGGAACTCCCACTGTCTCAAGTTGCAGAGGCAGTGGGACACAACTGTATGTTTGTAATTTGTATTCATTGGTGTTATACAATTGTCATTCGGTGGCACTCTGAAGTCTCATGTTTCACACTTTCCTGTCATTCTTTTCACTTCTGGTATAACCCTTCACCCTTCCTTTTCCAAGGCTATACCTATTGGTGAAGGCCTTCTAATCCTATGGTAAATGTAGACACAGGATTATGGAATTTTTAAATTGAAATACAGCCGATGATCACATCAACAAATGACCGATATTTCTGTTGTTTTTCGTTCTACACACCGTTCCAGCACCTTATATTGTTCTCCGTCAATCAGAATCTCGTGACATTATGAATTACCTGTGTTTGTTTTGAAAATTTTCGAGTTACGGGTACGTTAACCGTAATTATGATACGGATTCTACCTCTATTTTCGTGTATCGCGAGCATATGTCACTTTTTACTTAAGTTTCAACTGATCTTTCCACGTTTCCAACATTTTTTCTTCAAAGCCCTATCCGCCCTATGGACACTAAGAAAACCTCCTTTAGCAAGCTTATTATGGCCAGGCAAATAATGGGGCGACTGGGTGATAAGGGACGGAATCCGACATATCATACTTGAAAAATTCCGTTTTGGGATCGAATCCGATCGGATTCGATCCCGGGTAACCAGAGCGGTGGGCTGCCACCTTGACCGCTCGACCATCCGACCTTTCTCTCCAGAGAACTGCATTAGTTGGTCAAATTAAAATCTAACTATCAGTACGATTTAGACCAACTAATTACCCCTGTTCCCTCGATTTACTTCTTGTTTTTCTGTAAATATCTTTGAAGTGAATAAAAGTCATTTTGTAATTGCATCAATATTTTTCATGTATTGTAGGTAATATTTTAATTTATCTCAAGGCGTTATTTTTATTGTTTTTAAAATGGTTTATTTTTGGTTTAATGGCGTAAAAATTTGGTTTAATTTAGTTTCTTTTGACTCTGTTATTTGAAGAAACAGAGATGGTAACATCGATTCAGTGATATACTGGATGATACAGTACATATCTTTATGCTCGTGATCCAGAAAGGGAGAGCACAGGCAAATCAATCTATTAATATGTTAATAAGCTATTAATGAATATGACGATGATGAAACCCCTAAATTTCTGGAGGATGAAGTTGAGGTAGCTTTGAAAAAATTGAAGAACGGGAAGGCACTTGGCTTACAAGGGGAATTGCTTAAATCAATGGGTTCTGAGGGAAGAAGGATTATGAGTCATGTTCTTAATAAAATTCTTGCAGGAGAACAACTACCCACAGACTTTACTAATTTAATATTTATACCTATACCCAAAATAGCAGGAACACTGGAATGCTACAAACATAGAATAATAAGTTTAATAAGCCATATCTCAAAAGTTTTAACTAATACTATCTATAGTAAAATAGAACCGAAAATTGAAGCAGAACTAAATGATACACAATTTTGATTTACAAAGAACAAAGGAACTAGAGAGGCCATTATATTAATTAGACTTATTGGAGAAAAAATTATTGAAAAAAATAGGGATCTTTATCTATGTTTTGTGGACTATGAAAAGGCGTTTGACAATGTTAATCACACAGTTTTATTTGAAATATATCAAAAAATCGGAATAGATAAAAAGATAATTAAAATTATTCTCGTTTTATACAAAAATCAGAAAGCAATAATAAAAATTGATGAAGAAGAATCCAACTGGATAAGGATGGAAAAAGGAGTGAGACAGGAATGCGGACTTTCGTCACTGTTATTTAATATTTACAGTGAGTGGATGATGCGAGAAGCACTTGAGGATTGTAACGAAGGAGTGAAAATCAATGGATGCTTGATAAATAACATAAGATATGCTGACGACATAGTCCTGCTGAGTGAAAGTAAAGAGGGATTACAGAAAATTCTGAATTGACTGTTCAAAACTGGATTGGAGAAATTCCATATGAAAATAAATGAACAGAAGACAAAAGTAATGAACGTTTCAAAGAGTGAAGATATGGATGAATTCCAGATCATTCTGGGAAATAAAACTTGAAGAGGTTAAAAAGTTTGATTATCTAGGAAGCTCGATAACGAGTGATAATAGTTGTAATACGGAAATTAAAAGCAGAATTAAGCAAAAGCTGCCTTTTATCAGATTTACCATATACAGTATTAACAAACAGAGGCCTTAACATAAAACTGAAAATAAGGACAATGATCTGGAGTGTGGATGCGAGGTATGGACTCTCGCACGTGAAATGATGGAAAGAATTAACTCTTTTGAAATGTGGTGCCTGAGAAAGATGCAGAGAATAAGTTGGACGGAGAAAATGACAAATTCGGAGGTTTTGGGCAGGCTGGGCTTGAGGGGAGAGTTGCTTATAAATATCCAACAAAGAAAAGTACGATATGCTGGACATTTGGCTAGAGGATCAGGAGGACAACTGCTAAAGACGATGATTGAGGGACTGGTGGAGGGGACAAGACCTAGAGGAAGACCCCAAAAGACTTGGAGAGACAACATCAAGGACTGGACTGGAAAGGATTTAAGAGAAGCCTTGAATAGGGAAATATGGAGAGGAGTAGTTCATCAAATGCAACCCTCTGTAGAGAGGATGCCACTGGATAGATAGATAGATAGAAACTATTAATATCTACCAGATAAAATAAAATAATTTAAAAAATGACAATTATCGAAATAATTTATTTCAGGTACTCAAATTTCGAAAAGTAATAGAGCTATAGGAAAAAACCGCCAGATGGCGCATAGAAAGAAGCAGAAGAAATTTTCCGAATTTGTTGTATGGTTAGTGAGACGGAAGGCACATTTCGGAATGAGAACATTTTTATGGTGTTTCTGAGTATTTTTCATGGATAATTCTTTATAATTAGAATCAATATGGTAGTTGCAGAACAAAATAACTGGGCAGGAGTTTCCGATGTTGTGTTTGTTGTTGAAGGAACAGCTAATTTGAGCCCATATGTCGAAAGCATGAAAGCTAATTACATACAGCCTACATTGGAGTAAGTACTTATTTAGTTATTTTGATTTTTTTCTATATTTTTAATAAGTAAAATTAATTTATGTTAATGAAATTTCCAAATACTACTTTAATACAGTAAAAACTGTCTAAAACAGAAACCTGCCTAAATAGAAAAATTTCGGAATAGAACGATTTTCTAATTGTTATATTTTACTATAATCCGAAAACCTGTTCACCGCGGAAATAAACAAGGGGTTTTCTTTATCTATGTGCACCGTCATGACCACACAGTGGGGACCAACGTTCTAACCTAACCTAAACAAACCTATTCTAATAAATTTCCAAATTATTGGTAATTTATTAAGTTAGATTAGGTTAGAATGTGTGTTTGGTAATTTATTAGAATAGGTTAGAACGTGTGTCCCCACTGTGCAGCCATGATGGTGCACATAGGTAAAGATTAACCGAAAAAAGTTTTTAGGTACAAAGAGTATTTATCCCTTATAAAGCGGAAAATTAATTTTTCACGTGTTGTGCACAAATACAGTAAAACCTTTCTAAATGGGAAGCATCTTTGAAACAGAGCTAAACTATTTGTTTTAAAAAACCTGTGCAAGACAAAACCTGCCAAATTGAAAAAATATTTGGTACAGTGCAATTCCAGTTTACACAGGTTTTACTGTATGTATAATCAGTCACCTCCACATATAATTGCTTCATTCAGCAGACAACAGTTTCAGAGCTGTTGAGTATTTTTCTGCTGAACATCTCTATAATCTTCTTCTGCCCACACTACTCTACGCAACGCAAGGAGTTAATTCATACCATCAAGGACAACGGCTTCCACTGGCCCTGTATGCTTAAGGACTTGATTTCTGACAAGAAAAACTTTTCAGCGATAAAAAGTTTTGCTACAGGTATTAGGAAGCTCGACTATTGCCACTCTGCAATCTATGATCACCCTCAACTGACCATCTAGAAGTTCATCGTCTCCTCTCTCTGTATGGGTCAACTGTGTAATTTAGAGTATATTGTTTTAATGGTTCATTCTGTAATAAATTGGATAAGCTGTTCTATATGTTCCGCAGTTTTATGTTTTACATCAAACAGCTTCATCTGTTTCCTCTGTTAATGTACTCCTGCTAACTGAAGTTAATTTGTTTAATAGTTTTGCTTGTAATCTGTTATACATGTTTACATTGTTGCGCCTTTTCAGTTGTGTTGTACCCATCCGGCTCATTCTGTATTGTTTATTGTCCACGCTGTATTAATTTTCTTTTAATTATAGGCGATGCAAGGTGCCAGTGGGTCCCATGACCCACCTTCCCTCACTTCCCACTATCCTATCACACTTACTCCCTCCTTCTGCCTTTCCATACTCTCAACTTCTTCTACCCTATCTCCACTTCCTTCTTACCACGGGCTATACCTCCGAGTTCGGCCCTGTCTCTTTCCTAACGCTGAACATCTCTATAGTTTTGCTGTTTTGGAGCATGTTTGGTGTTTTGACATCACATTTAGTAGTGGATTTTGGTTGTGCTATCTTTGAGTGGCTATAACTGATCAAAGATGACTGTGCCCATGTAATGTGAAGTATATATTACACAGATCTGCAAAAAAAAACATTTTTTTCCAGCTGCATTGGATATTTTTGCTGAATTATATGTTTTAAAGATTGGAGATTCTAAAAATGACTTCCGTAACATCCCATCACGTATAGGTTTTTTGCAAAATAAAAACAAATATTTGATAAAAACTTATTTATTACAATGAACTAAATATATTATATTTTCTTACAACTAATCAAAAAATTGTTTGATATTTATACACAATTTTAGGTCTACTCTTTTTTCTTCTATGACACCTTTTCTTCTTCTTTTTGAGGCTTCTCTGAACTCAATTCCGATTTCCTTCTCTGGTTTCTCGATTGATCATCCAACAGTAGTCAGCTAACATATTATGAATATGTTAGCTGACTACTGTTATGTGACTAGCCATTTTCCTTGGTAACATCTCTTGATATCACAGACATCCTGGTGAAATCTTTTACCCTGTTCTTCATTGTAGGCTCCCAAGTTTTCGGGAAAATAGTCAATATGGGAGTGTAAGAAATGAACTTTTAAGCTCATCTTGCATCCTTGAGCTTCATACACTGCTGCCAGTATGTGTTGTATAGTGGTTTTGTAGTCAGGGTCCTTAGTATTCCCCAAAAACTTATGCACTACATTCTTGAAAGAGTCCCATGCTTTTTTTTCCTTTTCTCCCATTGTTTCCAAAAAAGAGGGGATGTTGACTTAAAGGGGGAGATAAAGGGGATGTTGACTTTTCACTGTATATTCACCACAAACATAACAGAAGCTGTCAGGAGATATTACACAACCTCTGCGAGCCATATTCCAGAAATAAAAATACAAGCACAGTAGAGCTCAAACGCTGGATATAAACTGAGTGTGGCATTAGATGGCCAGCGAGAAACTGAACTTATTTAGCTTGTTGAAACATGATCTAATCCAACAGCAGGTTGTTATATTTATTCCTAGTATCCCAGATAACATGTCGAAACATGCACAACGTCACCAGTAATATTACTCACTATCAACTTTTAACCTGTTTCTACACAATCATGCAACCTTCCTCCTAAAACTACTTAACCCACCTCCCCCTACTACTACTTTCTTCAACCATTAACATTTTTTTTATTTATTTGTTGCCAAGTCCAACTATAATTGATATAATTAATGTGAGAATTCTTTGTTTTAAGGCCATTTTTTAAATAAAAAAAAGAATACTAAATTTTAAGTTAACTAGGAATTTTATGCTAAATACAAACAAAAACTTGAGTGTAAAAAAAATTGACGTGATGGAATTTTTTTGGTATTGTTTTCGTTTTTACCAAGTTGAAATCTATAAGAAAATGTATAAAAATCCTATGCAGTTTTTTACTTGCAGACCTGTTATTTATGCTTATGAAGGCTTACATTACAGTATTAATCCATTTAAAAACAGTTATCAACTAAAAACAGATATATGAAAATAAACTTTAAAATGAATATACCATATTTACTTGCATATAATATGAGGTTTTTATTCATTTTTCGCTGCTTCAAAACCTAGGTTGTCCTGTAAGCGCAAGTGAAGGATTCTTTTCGTTTTTTCAATAATTTTTGTAAACTGTGTATTTGCATCTTTTACCAGATTCTCTGATGTTTAAAAACAAAAGTATTTTATCTGGGTCATTTCATCGTTCTTGAGTATTGTTAGGAGTAAAGATAAATAAGCTACAATTAGCTTTCTTATAGCCATTAGCTTTCGTTAGCTAGATACATCTTTGGAGTGGGTGTAGTAGGACTCTATTTGATCTGACAGATATACTTCTTTTTTGACAAAATTGTAGTCAGTGACACATTGTAATTTCAGCACAGGCTCTTGGAATCTTTTTGACTTCTTCCCAGTGTCAGATTAGTTTGTTTCCACAGCTGAAAGCATGATAACGAGTCTTTTATCGACCCATTTTGTTACCCAGATTCCTCAATTATCCTCTAGCCCACAAACTTCGCCTTTCTTTTGTCATTTTTTATCAAATATTTTGGAGCACCTCGCCTGTTTTGTTCTAACGGTACCACACAGTCTTGTATTTTTGGCCATTAGCTCACAAGCTAAATCCACACTTGTGGAGGTGCCATGCAAAAGCAAACAAATCCATAAAAAATCAAAGTTGAGTTTATAATTGATTTTTTTCCTTCAGCCTCATTCCTATCTACTGTTATAGTTGGTTTCATTCAAAAAAATATGCATCCAACACTTTTTGAGCTTTGAAAATCGACATTCTGTGTAAAAAAAGAACATCTCTTTACATGTGTTCCAAGCAGAAAAAAACATCTATTGCAGTCTGGCTCAGCCAATGAAGAGCTATGATTGAGTCACATGACTCCCAGAATGCAACAGGTGGTTTTGTTTTTGTTGTTCTGTTGGAACAGAGATTTTGATGTTAAAATGTTTTTTTATTAGTACACATTTTATTATACAGTGTATTTCAATGTTATAATTGAGTGAAAATGGATAAAGATGGTTTTATAAGTGTAGAAGAAGGCAATGTTGGATCTAGAAAGAAACCTAAAACTGTTGAAGTGCGGGCAAAGAAGAAAACACAAAAATACAGTGCTCCTTTGGGATGAGATTTGAGGAGCCAGTCCTACTACCTGTAGGCCACCCTCTGTCAGCTGCCAAGAAAAAAGACATTGAATCACTTTTAAATGATGAAAGTTTTTCATGATATAAACAAGTGTTACAAAACGGAACCAAGCTTGAAGCAGATGACGTGGAAAAAGAAGAAGATAATGGGAACCTGTGTGATTGTTTGGGAGAAGACATTTATTGTTCATCCCTATTTTGTAAAATGCCATGTTTTTTGGTAAGTCAAAGTAGTAGCCAGTATAACAAAGTGAAAAAGAATATAGTGGCCAGGCAAAAGAAAACATATCCTAACATAGTTCATGCAAAAAAAAAAAAAAAAACATATCCACCCTAACAATCCATGAAACCTTTTTATAACAGTGTTGTCTCCGTAACAAACTTCATGAATGTTTTCAACCTCCACCGAGGTCTGCTTCAGGTGGTGACTAAACGATGTCTCCCCTTGACCGTTGGAATAATGATGCCCGAGATGTAAATAATTGCGCGTATCGTGTTTCACCCTTCCACTTGTCCCAGTTCAAATTCTTTGAATAAGTACCTCCACACCTGTGCAATCGTTTCTCCGTCTTTAAAGTTTGATGCAGGTGCCCTCAACATTGGCTTTATAAATCTCCCAGGCCTCCAGGTGACGGATGTGATCAATACGAAACGCCTGTCTGATTACTCTGGTGTTTTGGAAGTCTGCACGGATTTCAGGGTCGGTAACATAGGCTGACAAGGCAGTGGTGTGCCTTTTATTTTTAATATCCAATTGATGTTCCCGTAACCATTTTTGTGTTGAGAGGATGGTGGAGCCAATGTAAACTAAGTCTCTATGGAATCTATCATCCCTGATGGGAATGGAGTATACCCTTGGAGCCCTGTTGAGATCTATTGCATCCTTGGCGTTGCGCAGCAGGTCGTAAATTTCTAATTGATCTCGAGGCATTACCGATTTTATGAGGCAGTTTTCATACAAGGCGTCTTTGGACCAATAAGATATTTGGCAAGAGAAACTGACCCATGCAAATCATGATTGCCAAGAACTTTGACATTTCTTCATTGGTATAGGGCATTACTTTTTCAAATGAGATTTTGACATCAAAATCTTGCTTGCTGAATATTGATTAGCCATATGTGTTGGTCTCATTGGTCATTATATCTAAGATATCATTGCTGACAAATATCTGATAAATTTTCTGTGGATCATCCAGATTAGTGTACAAAGGTTCAACTTTTGATTTCCTTGAAACTGTGGGATGTTATGAGATGTTGAATCAATTGGTTGCAAAATGGAATTAGTAGACTTGCTAAATGTTAGAATTATTACTGTCATTGTCATCATCACTGGTGCCTGAATTATTGTCAGAGGCGTCAGGACTCTTCACCTTCTGTTTCTGATCCCAAGAACAATTCTGATTCATCCAAATATGGTTTGAAGTGTGAATCCTTCAATTTATTGTCAGATATTCTGGATTCATTGCTGTTGTAGTCATCCATATACTGACTGATTAGGTTATCTGATAACATGTTCCAACAGTTGGACATTCTAATCATATGAGATGATACCTAGTATGAAAAAATTAATTTATCCAATGTAAAATGAAGTTATCCCAAGTCTTATTTAAAACAAAATATATGCAGTAACAACACTAGTATAAAATAAATTAGCTGACTCAAAAATTTATGTGCACAAAGAACTTTCAAGAATGCAGCAACAATAGAAACAATGTGTTTGCACTAAAACCCTATCTGGCAGACACCAGATATAGGTGACTCATACCACCCAGTAATCACCTTTTATGATGATAGGGCTGCACAAGTCACCCATGCTTCGTGCTACGAAATTAATATATTTTATCCCACTTAATGATATAATATCAATATATTGAGTATGATTCCTGTAGGATTATACATCCTGCCCCACGGGAAAACAAGCAATTCTGTGTGCCGTCCTAACTAGACACCACTCTGACTCATATGTGTCTCATAATGCCACTAATATGTTAAATTATAATACTACCACTCAAACTGGTTATACTTGAATTAAAAACTCTGAAAATCTATAATCCAGCAAGTTTTATAATAGGTGCAAATGTTTTCACTTGTGTTGAATGGGCATCATCAGGCAAACAAATAGCCAGTTGCTGAAACAATGGAGGATTGCTATAAGAGGGGAGGTGAATTGTCGCTATTGCATCGTTAAAAATTATTTCTTTATTTTGCACAAAATAAATACAGTACTGTACTGTACATTGAAAAATATTTAAAAATATACAGCCAGCTAGTATTCACCCTACTATAAACCCTTTGCCTCCTGTAAGTTTTATGAGAATGTCCCGGGAAATCCAACACTAGCTGTTCTCAAGGTCATCCAGCTGTAAACATAATGACTCATCAGTGTCAAATTTTGCAGAAAGGCGAGACAATGGAAAATAAAGTTTGAAGCTTTTTCTTCAAAAATAACGCATTTCTTTCGTTTTTTTTCAGTTTTAAATATTTTTTATGTTTAATTATAATGTAATTAAAAATTGATCAGAGAGGAAGCGGTTAACAAGAACATTTATTAGCTTGCGCACATCCGACTTGGATCTTACACACAAGACATCTGCTATCGTGAACAATTGATGAAATAAAAGTGTACATTTATCAGAGAATAGACAAAGACTCAGTTTGTAAACAATTTACCTTTTGTATATACAACTGAAACTCGATCCTTAGTGTTCTTTCAATGACCGGACATAAAAAATGAACAGATGACGCTTAACTTAAGCGCAGTTTACAAAATGAAAATGCTTAATCTTAATTCAACCACTCATAATTAAAAAATTAAGCCTCATTTAAATACTGGCCTTCCTTTCATGGTTCGTTAGCTAGATACATCTTTGGAGTGGGTGTANCTTAACTTAAGCGCAGTTTACAAAATGAAAATGCTTAATCTTAATTCAACCACTCATAATTAAAAAATTAAGCCTCATTTAAATACTGGCCTTCCTATCATGGTCGAGCCAGTGTTGCCAGCTAAAACACGCAAAAATTTAACAAAAATAATATTAAAGTAGCCAAGACATAGCTAAATATTGTAGCGCCACATCACTAGCGGACATTTGAATTTGCTGACTAGAACGTGGTCGGTTAACCGAGGTGACGGTTAATCAGGGGTCGGATAATCGATGCTCTACTGTAGATACAGTTTGCTTCAAAATTATAAACATATCCAACTTTTTTCAATAACAAAAACATTAACAATGGTAATGTATTTATTATATTAGTATGTTGTTTACAACATCAATTTAAACATTTTCTGAAATTTTTAGAGCTATCTGACAATTACAAAAAAAAATTATCAGAGATTTTCAATTTTTGATTATATCAAAAGTATAAACACAGGTGCGTACAAAAATTATTTGTGATGTCTCAATATTTTGATTTGATTATTTAAATACTCTATCAATTGTATATTTTACTAGTTTTTAGATTAAGAAGTTGTTCTTGTTTAATATTTTCCCAGCAATTCATAATAGATAATTTCAGTTCATTTACAGTGTTCTATTCTCTGTTTTGGCTATAAACAAAACAACTCATAATGCCCGAAATATTTTCTATTGAGTTCATATCAGGGCTCTGTGATAGCCAATTAATTAAATTAATGTTTTTTCAATAAACCAATTTTTAGTTGACTTTGATGCATGAATGGCAGTATTATCTTGTTGGAATTGCCAGTTTTCTCATCCAATAAGTGATTCAAAAGTTATTAACTTTTGATACAAGTTTTCAATATTTTTCTGAATTCATTCTACCTTCTATAAATACAATGCTTATTTACCCCCCCCAACCAAATCCTTCCCACACCATCACAGAGCCGCCACCTTGCTGTCTGCTCATTCTGACTTCTTCATTCTTCCTCAAATCATGCCAGTAGTGACTATAACTGTCAGGTCCATCCAAATTTCATTTTTTTTTTAATCTGAAAAGACACTGTTTCCACTCCTCTTTTCATGTCATCTTGTCTTCATCCCACTTTAATCTAGTGTTTTGTGCAATTGTGTTAATTTTGGTTTGTCAGCCATTTTTGTAAATTTGGTATTTTTATGATTATACATATATCTCCATACAGTTGCTGATGAAACTGCAATTAGCAATGTTGATGCTGATTCTCTGACAGACAACTTTTTGACCAACAGTAGCCGAAAAACCTTTTCTACATTTCTAGATGTAAGGAGTTCTACATTGTTTATTTCTGCCATAATTTTCACCCTTAGTTAACACATTTCTCACAGCACATGTAGATTGATTTACAGCTGCCAAAATTTGTCTTAGAGATTGTGCTGCTCCTTTTAGTTGGTAAATTTCATGTATTTCCAACTCTGTTAGTGTTTTGCCACAAGGCATTGTTTTAAATCACAAAAGAACTGTTCAAAATTAGCACCACATTTGTAATAATGAATGTTACTACCCTCTGATGACAACTAATTAAACCAATAATTAATAAAAAAAAATGATTATACTAATTTTATGCACCTGTGTTTATACTTTTGAAACAATCAAAAATTGAAAATCTGTGATAATTGACAAGACTATGTCTCGTCTCTAAAATTGCACTGCTGTCAATTGTGCACACCTTAGAGGTATGAAGAAGTACATGTCAGGGGTTGCAATTTGGCACAGAGTATTTGGTGCCCAAATCATGCTCAAATAAAAGAAACCAGACTTGTAGGTAGTCAGGACTGAGAACCAGGTCAAAAGAAAATACGAAATGCTGAGACTGTTTCTACAAATAGGTGCGAGTGCAAGATTTGCGCATGCATTGCTCACACTCTCTGAGACATAGTCTTGTCCCAAAAATGGCCTCACTATTTTACTTGTGTTTTTTTGTAATTGTCAGATAGCTCTAAAAATTTCAGAAAATGTTTAAATTGATGTTGTAAACAACATACTATTATAATAAATACGTTACTATTGTTAATGTTTTTGTTGAAAAAATTGGGTGTGTTTATAATTTTGAAACAGACTAGAATTAACAGTTTTTTCTAATAGATCCTATTGAATTTGTTAATTTTCTACGAACTTTTAAAGGCAGAAAATTTGTAGAAAATTAACAAATTTGATTTTCAAAATGTTGAACTGTGTGTTAATACAAGAGTTAAATAGGATTCTAATGCAAAAAATTGTTAGGTTTTATTTATTTCCATTTTCAAGAGTTTTTTAAAAAGTATTTTTCCATAGCAAAATCATTCAATTTTTAAAGTTATCTGCTGGAAGTTGTATGCATAACCAAAGATGTTATAAGCAGCCTTGATAATTGATAAATCAATAATAAATGGAGTAATGAAAAATTCCATATATGATTCATTAATGTAATTTTAGGATGATTTTATAATAATACATATATCTTGTTGATGATGATAATAAGACTTATATTTTGTATTTATTTTCAGATATTTCAATGGAGGACCTCCTGATGACAGGGATTGTGGATGTGATGTATGCCTAATTTTTTATTTTTATAAATTAANCATGCTGAATCGAACGTTTTTGATACTAGATCATCTTCTAAAGTATATATTTTTTGGTTTTTATATTTTTCAATATATTTATTTTGTTTGTAAGAAATAAAGAAATAATTTTTAATGATACAATAGCCACGATTATTATTTTAAAAAGTATACGTTAGGCTTAACATCGACAAAAATTCAACGCGAAGCGACACACGACGGAGAAAAATTTCAACACGGGATAGGTTAATATATTTTTTCGTACATAATCGGTTATCCGAAAAATAAGTTATCCGAACAAGTTATCCAAAGAACCCCAGTCCCCAATTGATTCAGATAAATGACGCTCTACTGTATAATAATTATGAATTTGTCTATCAACTCCAAATTCCTCTTTCAATGTATCAACCATGACAGCCAAGATGATTAAGGTTTACAACACACCACTAACGAAACTTATCGAACTGATGAGATATAAGACGTAATAAAAATATTTTTAATGAATGGTTACAGCAAAAGCACATTCAACAAATGGATCAAGATCAAAGATACTAATAAACACGATCATAAAACAATACCATCACTCAAAAATATTTTAAAATTTCATACGAACAAAATTTATTTGAAAGAATCAAATCTATATCACACAATTACGGTATAACCTTAGCACCAGAAAAATTTCCTTGTTTGAATTACAAGATAAACCCGCGTAATAATAATACATGGAACCAAAAAAACATAATTTACAAACTCAGTTGCAATTGCACTATTCCCAAATCTTATATAGGTGAAACTGGTAGAAATCTGAAGACTCAGTTTAAAGAACACATATCCGTGATTAAATATAATAATTGTAACTCAGCTGTTGCTGTTCATTGTAACAATGAAGGTTGCCAAATCATAATGGAAATTGTAAAAATTGTCAAAACAAGAATCACATACACAAAAAAAGGAGATGGTATGAACATCTTGAGATAATTAAAAACAAAGACAGTGCAATAAATAATAATAATGGTCAAAAGCTACATGAAACTTGGTATCCATACTTGACCAAGAGAAGCCGAGAAGGGTAGTGGTTAATTAATGTGTATGGCAGGTTCTCATTAACTCTGTGCATCATTACCAAACAGTACCCAGCAGGGTGCTCATAAGTCTCACTTCCACTTCCTCCTTCACTCTTCTACATTTCCCTAACCCCTCAAAAACACCTGTTTTTCGACCTCCTTTACCTTAACACCATCCCACCCACTACCTCTCCCCCCACCTCAAGATGATGCCTTCCTGATGCATCCTCTCCCACTTACAATTTGTGGACCATCCCATCATGTAAAACTCTACTGTAAATTAAAACAATTTTTTTTTGTCCATTTTATTTTAATGGTACACTACCTTTACTTTATCATACTGGTTGTTCCAAAAGATTGTTTCTATTCTATTGTTTTTACCATAACCAAGATCACGGTTTCCCAAATTTTATAATCTTAACTCAACACTGTGTCATGTATACTGTGATGTTTTTTCCAATACTATGTACCGTGCTGTCATGTTTGCAATAAGTTCAAAACTTTTTACATCTATGTTGGTTGTTTTTCCCTTTTGTAAATCATTTTCAATTTAATCATTATTTTAGCTTATAACTGTTAATCAGTAATCACCATCCATATTTTATCTAATGTCACAACTCCTGCATTTCTCATAATCCATGTAAGTTTCCTAATAATCTTTTACAATTTTGTAACATTACAATAAATTTATGCTAACTTGTATACATTGTGCTAACCTGTATGTAATTTTCCCTATATAGTTGTAACACAAGAGTTGAAAATTGTCTGAAATGCATACTCAAAGAAATAAAAAGTATTTCTAAAGCTTGTCCTCCTTTTTATTGATAGTGTAATAAGTCTAGTGGAAAAGAAAAGCCTCCTTAGTGCTCATATAATTGAACACAAGACTAACAAGAAGCGTATCGCATAATGATAAGGTTGACATCTTAACCATCTTGGTCGTCCTATTATCCTGGATACCTGGGACTGAATCCAAGCAGTCAAAAAAATCTTAAAAGAATTTAATAGCCACTCAGTCCTGTATATATCAGATCTTGAAAGGATTAAAAGCACAATAAATACCCTAGTTTCTTCTTAATCAGGTTAATGCTAATTAAATACATAGTTTGTATCTAATCATGGTACAAATTGTGTACTCCTACTGGATCCAAATAACAGTGAAATGCATGTAGTTCTTGGCTTTTAGACCATTTTTTAAATCATTTGAGTTTTGTACAAAACTTAAATGATACGTCTAAATTACTTTTTATTACTTTTGTAATTTAGTTGAAAATAATTTTGTTAGGAATAGAGTCTAAAATGGAATCAATATTGTTTTTGTTTACTCATTAATTTTAACGTTTAAATTCTACTTTTATGTTAATTTAAGAAAAGTAGGTAGTAAAAATAGGAAATTCGTTTTATCAATGTATCTGATACAGAAAAATATATTAAAAACTATTATATAATAGTAAAACACAATTTGTTTGAAATAAAAGCACTAGAATAATTAATGTATTTAATGTAAATTATTTCTTTGTTTATAGTATAACAGCACAATGTATGCACTGGTAGTTTTTATGACTGCTGATTGTGCACCAGAACCTGCAGCATTATGCTATGCTCCAACAACAAGCACACACAAACTTCTTTCATGGTTAGAAAGAATTTCGTAAGTATTAAACTTCTTAATTTTTCAAATATAAAAAATTATCATAACTGTGTAGAATTCAATGTTATACAAATTATATATCAATAATAAAATTTGATGTAATTAGAATACACTGGTGCTTCATACTTCAAGTTTAATTCATACCAGGAGGCCACTTGAGCTCTGATTCATTTGAAGTCTGAATCAATTTTCCCAATTAGAAATAATGGAAAGTGAATTAATCCATTCCTAGATTCTAAACAATATCCATTTCAATAAACTTAAAACAGTATAAATACACATAATTTAAGGTAAAAATAACAATTAAATGTTCTAATAATAAATTAAAACATGAATACAATAAATAAAATACATAAATACTTTTTAATAAAAGTTGCATTTGCTGGTCATACATCATCAATTTCATCATCTTAAACTTGGCTACCAGATCTGCCATACATTTACTGCCTTCGTGCTTTGTTATAAGTTTTTATTTCTCCTCAATTTTCAATACAACCTTCTTCGTAGGCTTTATTGTTTCTATATACACTTGGATGCAATGGTTAATTGAGACAGAGTGTTAGCAAAGCCTCTTTTATGTGGCTTACAGAATTATATTCATTCTCAAAATCTGTTTGATCAATTTTGATTAAACTTTGCCATTTTTCATTAATTGCAATGAGTAATCCAAAAATGTAATAAAAATGGACATTTATGACTTTGTTTTCAAAATATAAGTTTGTTTCAAGAATGCATGGGACAAAGCAATATTTCATGACTTTGTTGTGTGATGTTCTATGGTTGTTAGCATGTATGGAATGCAGTATTCTATGGACTGTAGAATTGAGTTTGTTTTCAAAATTTAATGGGCTGAGTTTGATAAAACTTCCCATTTTTTTAAAATTTGCTGTAAGGAGTCCAAAAATGTAATGAGGGTCCATTTAAATGTAAAATGTAGGAGTTAATATTGTTTTTGATATACAGAGGTATTAAAATGAAAATGTTCATGCTCTCTGATGTGACTGAGCATACCTAATGGAATTAACCCTAGGGATAAAAAATAAAAACAGCATTGCATGTGCCTAATGGAAAATAGGCGCAAAAAATGAACAAAACACAAGAACAAAGCAATTGCCATCGATTGCTTTGTTTCTGGATTGCCTCTCTGTACCTGGCTAGTGCAAGGATTGTTTTTTTCACATGGCTTGCAAGTACAGGAATACAAAGAGTGGCAGAAAGAGTAAAATTAACCTATCTGCATTTGTCAGGTACTAGGATTGCCTATTCTGTGATTAACAAGTACAGGAATTTTTTTTTTTTTTTTTTTTTTCAGACTTTACCTCAATTTTATCCATAGGATAAAGTTATGCAATGTCCTAGTAAATAAAGGTTATATTGGGTTGAACAGAAAGTTTTGCATATTTTTTAACAATTGTCATTACTTAACATAGAGGCATGATTTAATTATAACAGTTGTGAAATTTAACACATTATTGCTAATGTGAGATTGCACTATTTGTTTATAAAATTATTTTAAACATTTCACTTCACATTTTGTTTGAATAAAATTAAGTTGAAATGTTCGTTACTACTTTCACATCCAGTTAGGTCTTCACTTAACTGGATGTTTTCATAAAAACTGCAAAAGAAAAAAATAAACCCAAAAATCCAACAGTTTAAGATTTCAAACTGTTGTATTTTTTTTTTTTTTTCCAAGTTTAAATATCTTCAGATAAAAAGCATATCAGGCATATTATTCTTTGAGTTTCTGAAAGGACAAATGCCATAGAACAGTCAAAAAGTTCACAATGTATATGGGAACATCTCCTAAACTTTAAACATGTCAAATGTGGTTTAAAAAGTCCTGTTCAGAAATTTTTGAACTAAAAGATACAAGATGTGTGAAGTGCCCAAAAGCTGTTGACAAAGAAAATTGCAGGAAGGAATTTAAAAATTAATGAATAATATAATTATAATCAAACACACCAAAAATAAAGCAATAAAAAGCACTGGAAATACACAAGTGTAATGTAAAAGTGAGAGATGACTTGGGTGCACAGCAGATTGGGTTTACATAGCATGCCCATTTCAAACTTAGAGCCATTGTTTGAACTCTGGAGGAAAATTCTTGTTGAATTTAGCTTTTGAACTCTGGAACAATTGAAGTTATAGTTGTTCAAAGTATGAGGTACCACTGTGTAAATTTTATGGTGACTCTATTTTAGACAAATTCTTTTAATCATTAATTTCCATTTAGTCTACCTAAATATAGCCTACAATATAACCTATAATGTGACTACAGTGAGATTTCAATACTTTTGAAAGTTAAGATCTAAATTTAACATACTAAACAGTATTTCAAATAGTTTAGAAAGGAGTAAATATTAATATTTTAAATATAAAAGATAAAGAAGAAATGTTTACGAGAAAGGATTTTTGTTTTTAATTTATATGTTTCTTTATCATGTTTTACTTAAAAAATTTTTTTCTAGATTTATTGGTGGGAGTGGAGAAGCTTGTAGTCATATTGCTGAAGGACTTAGTACAGCACTTCAAGTATTTGATGATTTTATCGCTCATCGAGATCCTGGGTTTGTGAAGAAAATAATAAATTTTAAATAGATTAAATAAAATAATTACAATAAAAATAGATTAAAAATTTTTATTTTTATTTTCAGCATTGTCTCTCAAAAGCATTGCATTCTTATTTGTAACTCCCCTCCTTATCCTTTACCTACTCTTGAGAGTCCTGCTTATTCTGGTATAATGGCAGAACAAATAGCAGCTTTGATGGCAGAAGTAAGTTTATAGGATAATGCATTCAATAATTTGTGTCTTGATTTTATAAAATTACTAAATTCAGATGAAAAATTTTACATACGTTTTCAAACATTATAACTTAAGTAGTGAAATTTTGTTATAATGAATATCAATGAAATGAAATTATATCTACAATAAAATATGATTTAGTCATTGAACATAAAAAGCTGATTATTATAGAAATTTTAGTACAGTGAATAAATCTTGAAATATATTTACTGTATTGTATTCTTAGTAGAGACAGGCAAATACTATCTGCAAATACTCAATTATCCCTTTGATAAAAATATTAAAATACTATGAATACATCATATGTACAGACAGTGCCTTTTCAGTCAGATTGCCAGATAAATAGAATCAATCCCCAGTGTCTGCAAAACTTCCCAAAATTAAGGTATTTTATTTTATTGAAGCAAACTAGTTGAAGGTGATGACGAATGAAATTCATTTGATTATTGCCTGGTCATAAACTCAATGTCACTCTACATCATTCCTTTCAATCGAAAGTAGGTAGTACATTTGATGCCTCTTGGGTTCAAGAAGTTTCATTTTTCAGATGATGATCAGCGACACTTGTGCATAGTTAAAAGTTTGCAAGAAAGAAGCATGCACCATAAGCCACAAAGAAGATGCACATTTGTGCTTTACATTTTGGTCATGTCTTTGCTATACTGGGATTATGAAATAAAGCTGTTTGATAGATTTTTATAGAAGTAAGAATACAGTGGGTGATGGTTAATGAACATAATTCGTTCCAAAACTTTGTTCGCTATCCAAATTGTTTATTAACTGATTATCGATTTACCATAGGTTTCTATGGGAATTTGATTAATTTATTCTGGAGACCTCAAAAAAATAAAAAATATATACTTTCTTACTACGTTTATTCATATGTAATAATAAAAATAAATATATATGTTACAGTCAAAACCCGTTTTTAGTTATAACGCATTTTAACTAGTTGAAACTAGTTTATACTGAATGTCTTTGTTAAAACCCGTTTTGTCTAGTCGAAACTAGTTTATACTGAATGTCTTTGTTAAAACCCGTTTTGTCTAGTTAAAACTAGTTTTAACTCAAATTCATTTTTGACTACAGTAAATTCTAGTTTTAACTAGACAAAACCGGTTTTGTCTAGTTAATTTACTGCTGTACATGTTTTGACTTTAGATAAAACTAGTTTTAACTTTTAACATTAGTTAAAACTAATTTTAGCTACATAAATATGTTTGGGGGAAATAAAGTTGTGTGTAGTGATTCGGCGGAAGATGCCTAACATTTTGCTTATGAAGAAAATTACAGCGCTAATTTGAGTTTAGGAGCCCTCTAATGAAAATATCATATTCTGGAGTATGTCTTTCAAATAAAAGTTTGGAGTTTATTTTAAAAAATTCTATACTGTGTTTGCAATGACGACTTTTTCACTGTCTGGCATTTTAAGCATCTCACCCCAAGTATCTGGGTGAGATGCCAAATGCCATTAGGGTAAGATAACAAATATAATTGCTTAAAATTAATTTTTGAATTTCTTAACCAAATTTAATTTATTGCATATGTAGTACAAAGTACTTCATAGTAAGTATAACAGCACAGTATAAGTATTGTTAAGTTTCCGCCCGTTCTAACGTGTTCTATAGCTAGCTGAAAGCTTTTTTCAGTCCAAAAACTTTTTTGAGAAGTCCTTATATAATTTCTATGCATATCCTGCAATAAAACGAGAAAACAAAAGTTTATTAAAAATAGGCATATTGGAAATCAATTAACAAAAAATAGGCACGTTACCCCAAGAAAAATGTGGCATATTTTCCATTTGTTGGGGTAAGATGCCTAGTAGAGTCACGTGCTCCAGCATGTCCGATCGGGATCGGCGGTAGCTGACAATGGAAACTTTAGAACCTTAACTACATCACACATTAATTGTTTTTAGCAATTTTTAATAAATTCCATTTTAACTTTTAGTTTAAAATTATTCTAGAAACATTTCACAACAAAAACTTCGTTCTTATCTAGCTTTTATTCTTCTCGGATGTAGAAAATGAAGTAACGGTAGCCAACTACAGCTTTCCGCACTCAATATTGGCCCAACGATTCATCATACAAATACATGACAATATGTGACGTCACCGTTTGAAAATATCAAAAATTAGGCATCTTCCCCCGCTTACCATCTTACCCCGAATCACTCTATGCGTTGCAGTCAAACCAGTTTTTAGTTAGGATGCGTTTTAACTAGTTAAAACTAGTTTATACTGGATGTCTTTGTTAAAACCCGTTTTGTCTAGTTAAAACTAGAATTTACTGCTAGTCAAAAATGAATTTGAGTTAAAACTAGTTTTAACTAGACAAAACGGGTTTTAACAAAGACATTCAGTATAAACTAGTTTCAACTAGACAAAACGGGTTTTAACAAAGACATTCAGTATAAACTAGTTTCAACTAGTTAAAACGCGTTCTAACTAAAAACGGGTTTTGACTGTAACATATACACGGTCTTGCATTTTTATTAGTCATGTTTTTTCTGTTTGTGGGGGTTAAAGAATCTGTTCAATGTCGATTGCTTTTCTGTCTTCTTCATGATTTTTCAGAAGTAATTAATAGCATTGTAATTGTAGAGATCCCTAGGACTATTAACCACACCCTGGTTTGGATGCTATTTTAAGACCATTGTTCTGACATCCTCCCACTTCTTCAAAAGAATTTTAAATTAATTAATAGCAGATTTTGGCATAAATCCACATTTTCAGAAGAAAACATAAAAGAATTGTTTCTGTCAGAAATACAAAAGGCTGGAATTACAAGGGAGAGTTTCAAAGTTCGGGGAATACTATCCAATCAGTAGATACTGGGTAGAACGTCGATGTCGACATCTCCAGCACTCTGAAAAGTTTTGAATTGTTGCCTGAAGACCAAGGAAAACCAATCAGTATTCGTTATTTTACGTCACTTCTTCTTGTGTTTATTCAGTGAAGTGTTCGTTATCCAAACATGTGTTCGTTGTTTGATCATTAAAATCTTTCACGAAAGTGTTTATTATCTGATTTGTTCGTTAACCGATCACCCATTGTATAAATTCATTGATTTTTTTGAAATTTATACATCTATCAAGTTCCTGATTTCATTCCTGTTTATTTATTAAATTTCTATAAAATAGACAACAAATGGAAGCAGCTGAAGTTAAACATCAATTAGCTTTGGCTTCCTCCATTTGCTGGTGCAAATTGTCATCATAGGTCATTATCATTTTAAAAAACAAATTACAGATCAGTAATTCATATAGAGATAGATGAAATGTTCATTGGTTCTGTAGAACTATGTCATGAGTGATATCAGAAACAGTGGCATTGTTTAATCATCAAAGGAAAACCATCCTGTGACCATAAAAATTGCCTCTGATGTCATGTCAAAAGCAATGTTTGCAGCAGGCTTAAAACTTTTCTATAAAGATTTTTATTAAATTATAAAGTTATGCATGTTTATGTTAAATAATCAATGAAACAATTTTAATTGATTTAATTTAACAAGAGAATTATTATTTAGAAGTTAGTCCTAATTTTAAAAATTTGCAATAATTGCTAATACTGAAAACAAAAAATTTAACAATTATTAAAATTTTTGAAATACTAACCATATCTGAACATTTTAATAATAATCTTTTGGTTAAAAATTTTTTTATTGCAATAAAACAAAAATTTTTGCTTTATAAAAAAGCAAATAAATATGCATGATAAATGAGAATTAAGAAATGTGGGACTAAAGGCAAAGTCAAATTGATCATATTTCTTACATTTTTATATCTTTAGTTATATCAGGATGATGTTATAAAATCATACAATAGCATCCTGATAGAACTATACCTATTTTAACAAGCTTAATTGGAATTTTCTTTATTTAGGTCAGCTAATAATATGAGATGCATATTGAATGTGTAAGTTAGAATTGAAATATAACAAAAATCACACCTTCCTCTCCTCCTGTATACAAAATTAAATGTCTACAGCAACATCTAAAGTGAAAAACTCACTATAGATGTTTGATTTTGTATAACCTGATGCAGGTCCCTGAATGTGGCCAAGTACATTTGTTCATTAAACAGTTATTACTGGAAAATGGGAGAAAGGTGTGATTTTTCTGTTACATGCATGAGATGTGATGAAAAGTTCAAAAATAATTTTTAATAATAGTTTAAATTAGTGTTAAATAAAAAATTATACATTCCTTAATTCCCCTTTGAGAATATAAAATTTTCTTTTTTATTTCCTGTTGACTTGAAAAGTTCCTATTTTAAGGAACCCCAATATGGCAACCTGTCTTTATTATCTCTGGTTTAATTTGTCACAAGATAAGAAGCAGATTAGACCCAAAATGTGTTTGAATGCTTCTTTTCATGAATAAAAATCTACAGTTGGTAAAAATGAAAACAATCATTGATTAATATTGGAGTTAAGATAACAATACTAAATAGAAGGTACTGTAAAACTTAAAGTCAAAATAAAATGTTTGAAGTTTTATTTTTTAGAATTTAGTGAATTTGTTTTTCTTTTACTTTGTTTTACTTTATTCATTTATTAATATATGGAAATAAATAAAATGAGTTAAAAAATAAATATTAAATAAAATTATTAAGTATTCTAGATATTCAAAAAATTTAAATTCAAGAAAAGTGATATTTGCCTATCTCTAATTCTTAGTTATAACAAGATATAAAATATAGCTATAATATAAATGACTAAAGACATTAAATAAATTTTGTAGAGTTTTAATAATTTTGAGTTTTTGAGCAGGCCATATATTTTATTTTATTTTAATTGAAAGAGGGGGGTGCCTCCAGGTTTCACTCATAGGTATGACCTGGAGGTTGGAGGAGAAAAGTTGGTGAAATGGGAGTGAGAGAGATGAAGGATAAGGGATGAAAGAGGGACAAAGTGGGGGAGACAGGTGAGAGTACATGGTGCCTGCAACACAATTATTGAAATCATAAT